ATGGAAGATAGATAGATGGATAGATGGATGATAGATGGATGATAGATGGATGAATGGATGGCTCAGCATCCGCCACATCAATTGTTTTCTCTGCATCTGTAAAATGGGCTGAGTTAAAGGCACTTTGGTGTTTTCTGAAGTATGTTGGCTGTGGCGGCCATCTTGAATGTAGTTGATGACCATCAGTGATGACTGACAGGAAGTGTCAGTAAAGTCCTCTCAGTGGTCCACGAGTTAAACACACAAACAGAAAAAGGCTCAAACACCATCACCTTTCAGCTGCAGGTGAAAATAAAAACGTGTTTAATTAAAGAAACTGATTTTTTCCTTTCTTCTCTCCTCATCCTTCAGTGATGGAAGTCTGTCCACCAAACAGATCGTTTTCCTGCAGAGACCTGTCCTGAACCGAAAGAGGAAGGAATCCAAGGTACACACCCTCACATCTTTCAGTTTTTCTCACTAACTGAGGGCTCTCCGTCCAGTCGCCCTGTTTCCTGCTCACCGTCTGAGACCAGGATCCATGTCCTCCTCCTCAGGTGGTTTTGTTCCTCTCAGACAAACTGGTTGTGGATCAAAGTGAAGCAGCTTCAGAGATGATGAGTCCTCCAGCAGCAGCAGACCTGTTATTCTGGGGATCCGGGGGTGTCGATGCTTTTCTTGCCGACCCCAAACAGCTGTGCTAACCTTTGAGGCTAACCTCTTTCTGCAGCGGAATGAGTCCCTGTTGATGTTTTCTGTGACCTGAATGTAAACTCACATCACACGAGCAGATCTGAGAGGCCCCCACACCTCCAGAAGAGCTGCTGCTAACAAGGACTTTAACAGACAAACAAAAGTGTTGGTCCCTTTCCACCATAATCAAAAAACACATCTGGAGTGAGTGAAGCAGAAAAGCTCCAGTTTTGTCTCAACTCGTCTTCAAGTCTTTGGTTCTTAACGTGTATTTTGTTGAATTTTAGGATGGATTTTTTTTTTTTATGTAATTTTCTGACAAAGATGGATCCTCCTGGGTTCATCAAACTACTTCTGATTACTCTTTTGTTATTTTAGCCGTTATCAAAATATTTGTCTCATCCAGTAGCTCGCTGCTGTGACTTTGATTTTTGTCACTTTTATACCAATGTTTCCTAGATGTTCAGTTTATATCAGTTCTCTCTAACCCTGCAGTCTGTGGAAACCTTTAGAAGATCTTTATGTAACTGATCCTACTTTATGTTTTAATTTTGTCCGCTTGTTCGGTCAAACTAAAAGCCTTCGGGACACCAATTACTCCCCTCCCATTGTAATTTCCTGCTCAGTCTTGTTTTGAATTGGCTCGTTATGCCTGTGCAATATTAGATCCTCCGTGATTCATTCCTAATTAAGTCTGTGTGGACTGCTTTGTGGCCCAAAGTGTTTTTTTTTTTAACTAACCCGCTAATGTAAATGTTTCAGAAACTGATCTTCAAGCCCCGGAGCAAGTCCAACAAGAACTGCATCAAAGAAACGGCAAAGAACAAGAAGAAAAAGACATCTGAGAAAGAATGTGACGATTCCAAGATCCTGAACGACAGAGGGACAAAGGACGACAAGACTGTGGCTGAGAGGGGGAACGGCGCGCAGGTGGAGGCAGCAAGAGAAGGGGCGAAAGAGAAGAAGAAAAGGTGCGAAGGAGATAAAAAGATTGAAGGTGGGATTGAAATCAGCATCGAGACCGTCACAAAGAAAGATGGAGCAGCCAAAAGTGAAGGCATAAAGGCAGAAAACTGCAGCGAAGAAGAAGAAACGATAACTCTGGATGGAGGGGGATCTAAAGAAAACGGAGAGCCATCGGGGAACGAAGAAGTCAAGGAGGTCTCTGAAAGCGTCGTGACCGTTGAGGCTCCGAGCGAGACCAAAGAAAAGGAGACGGAGGAGGTTCAAAGTGCGGTGGAGAACGGGATAGAGGCGGACAGAGAGAAAGATGAAGGTGAAGAAGATCAAACAGAAGAACTGGCCGAGGTGGAGGTTACTGCCAAGGAGACTGTGGCAGACCCCCAGGCCACAAATCAAAGCCCAGTAGAAGGTCAGGAGTAGCACCCAGCAGCTCAAAGTCAAGGTCGTCCCCCACCCTACCTCTGACGTTCCCAGTTCACAGCGTTGTCCCCGGTTCTACTTAAAGGGGTTCTGTTCCCCAATGCTGCAGCATCCTCTGAACCCCCATCAGTCATTACCAGTTCCCCTGAATACTCCAACTGGCATTGGTTCTTCTGTAGAACCCATCTTACTGAATGTATCCTACACAGGAGGTGATGCTGTGGGCTGTCATGTGGAGACACTGGATTAGGATTAACAGACGGCTGAGAATACAGATCGGAAACCAAAGGTTTGCAGTAAAATTAGGAAACACTTAACTGAGGAAAGCAGGCGTGTGCTACTTTTTTTTGTACGCACAGATTTGTTGTTTGAATATTTCACTTCCTCATAAGAGAATAAATATTTCCAGGAAAGCCAAAAGGTTTGCAAACGGGAATTCACAGCAAAAGTTAATATAAAATAATTAAATCTTGCAGCCATTGTTTTTCTAGAGAACAAGGTAAAGTAAGAGTCTGCCTCATCCACCTGACTGACGGGATCAGGTGTAAAAGTCCTCCCAGGCCTGGATCATTGCTCCCTGCTGCTTTCTGAGGCTCCGCCCACACGAGAACGGTTTTTCTCTACGTGAAAAACGATGTTTCAACACTCGTCCTCAAACTGTATTTTTCAAAAGTGGGTTCCAGAGGGAGAAAATCTTTAAATGTCATCTTTGCATTTTAGTGTGGACAGGCAAAACACAACTTTTTAAAAACAATGATGTCATAGACCCACCTCTAATCGAACCTTCGACCCCAAGCGGGACAGTCGTAACAATAGTTACAGATTACATGTTGGGTTTGTGCTGCAGATGCTAGTTGTTCAACTTCAGCAAAACCTTCTTGTCCTGTATTACACTGATGACACAAGGCAAGCTCTTTGGCAGCCATCTTGAGAAGAGTGACGTGCATCAGTTACGTCAAAGCTACACATGATAACGCCTCGTGCATGCTGTGTGCCGTGTCATCAGTTCTGAAACTTTGTCTAATCAGAGCTCTGCTACCAGTGGCTGCAATTTAATTTAGAAATAACTCCTGCCCTGTTTACACAATGCTCTTTTTGAGCGAGACCGTAGCCTTACTGCTGTGTTCCAGTCATTCGTGTACGCAACATCGTTTTCTCTGACGCCAAAGCTTTCTGAGTCCAGGCCTCACAGTGGAGGTTTCTGGAAACGCCCAGCATCTGTGTGAAACTGCGCATGCGCACTGGGGTCGGCTGCAGTTTCGTTTTCCTGCGCCCGTGTGAGTAGATAACAGAAGCAATGGGTGCTGAGAGTGCTGTTTGTGCTGCTCACCCTTTTGACCGTGCAGGAACAACCCAACCTCGTCCTAGGTTCGTGCTGTCACCAGTTTGGATGAGACTGTTTTCATGCTCGAGACTGAAGTGTCTGCACGTGTTGCTAAAATGAAACAATCAGCAGATGCAACCCTATAAACATGTATTTGTGTTGATATAGCAAATTCAACATAGGACGAACACAAATGTTTCCAAAGAGTGTTCATGTATAAACAGGGCATTGGAGAGGATAGGACTAAAGGGTGCCTAATACCGTAAAAAATATGACTATATTTACAGTAAAGGAAAAATTACAATTCATTCCACTTTTATATTGATTTTTAATTGATGCTTTTTTAACATTTTGCAAGTGAATAAACAGTGCCTCCAAACTGTTTTGCTGTCTAAAAAGATATCCATAAAACATAAAAGAAAAAAATCCAACCTATAGATATTATGAAGAACAAAAAAAAAGGTGATGGTTTTGGAAAAATATTTCTGTGTGGACGAGGTCTGAGTCCAGAGGACTGTCAGCAGAGGGTCCTGGTTGAGGTGATGGGAGAGACATTTTGTGCGAGGGGCAATCCAGAGTAGGCTGCGGAGATAATTGAGCTGTAAAACAGTGAGTGCTTCAAAGAGAGCCGATAATCACTCTTTGGTGCGGTGGGCCAAGCTCACCTTGCATACAGAACGCTCCCCCGGTCAAAGCGTCAGAAAAGGATCAGCTTGATGTTTGCACTTCATTAGACATGCCCAGTTATAGGCCTGCCGCGATAAACATTAAATCAATTAATCGCATGTTAAATGAAAATTATCAACCTCGTTTGAATGTATCGGCTTTATCGTTTCTTCGTGCGTCTCTCTTTCTACTGAAGACACTGGATGACAAAAAGCCTCAACTCCGGTGCTCTTCACTGACCCCTCACCTTCTCGTTTCTATTTAAAATCTTTTTTAATGATCCAAAATCACGTTTTTGGATCGTTAAAATCAGCTAAGTTGAGAAGCTAAGCTATGAGCTAAGCTAACAGGCCGACCTCTGGGAAAAAAAACTCTGTCTTGTCGAAGCGCCAAAATTCACGGTTGAAACCCGTGCCTTCGTGTAAAAAGTTTTTCTCTGCAAAAAGAAGCTGAGAACTTGTTTACTGGTGTTTTATTAAAAGCTTTGTGTGAAAAATGCTAAAGAGCTCAAACTACACAGAGCGTCCGCCATTTTGAGAACCGAAGCGAAACAGCCCATGTCACGTCAAGGGGCCTCCCGCTCCCTCACTATACATCCTTCAGTTCAGTCTTATACTGCCATCCGGTGGTCAAAAAAGGTACTACATGCAAAACAAATTAAACATTTCTTCTTAAATTTGACAAAAATTACTAATTATTGTCAAATTTCAAACAATATTATCGTTTATCGCAATAATTTCCATTAATCGCCCAGCAAAATTTGTTATCGTGACAGGCCTACCCAGTTAGCTTTACCTGCAGGAACCAGGACTTACCTCTGCACAAACCTGTGCTCTGAACTCTGGACAGCAGCGGCCAGCAGAAGCACTTGACTCTGTTAAAAACGCTACACGTGCTCGAGCAGCCAGAGGTGAAGCTTGTGAGGGAGGAAGGGAGGTTTTAGTGACAAAAAGACCAAAACGCCCGAGAGCCAAATAAAAGTAAGAAAGTGGCTCATTTAAAGTAACAGTGGTTTCTGTTCAAAACTCCCTGCAGAGTTTTCTTTCGTCGTTTTACCTCCAGCTCTGTAAGCGCCTTTACCAGACGCCGTTTCTGACATTAACCAAGTCGTGTTGTGTTGTTATTACGGCACCGCAGAGCTTTCCATTTCAGAGGTGGAACGGGGGGGAGACGGCAGCGTTTACTGCTCTCCGTGGCTCGCTAATGGACTTCGTCAGCGGGGAGTCTGTCAGTAATCATGCATTTATAATGGGGGTCACTTGTTGGGGGAGTTATTGACAACAAAACACCTCAACGTGTCGAGCCTCGCGTTTAACAGTGATGCCACGGGGAACCATTTACATCCTGAAGGATTGTGTTTGATTTTGCATAGAAAAAAATGACCATAACCATAAAGTACATTTGATAAACTGCATTTGGTTGATCAAAAAAAAGTACCTGCTGTCCAGTATGCTTTGTCACGATTAGCATATTTTATTTTATGGTAATAAATGATGGTATGGTGAAGGGAAAACGGCTGCAATCAGCTGAACAAGTGCTCTCCTTTTAGAAGGACTCATCCACCCGCCGCTGAGATTTCTGTCAATGTAAAATGGCAAAATGTTTTTGTGTAGAGTAGAATATAAAACTGTGACCAGTGTAGCCTTATTCCTATACTGTACATGACCCACAACCTGCTACTAGAAATGTTTTAGAGGCTTATTGGTGATTTGTTCTGTTTGTTCGAGTCAAACGGGAAGTGTTTTATCAGAGCGTCGTTTCCTGTTTTATTACTGGAATTAAGAGCGAAGGGATCAAAGTGTTCGTCCATATGAAGGTAACATGTTTTCAGTTCTTGAACATGTGAATGTTCTGTTTTCCCGTCATAGAAGGCTTTGTGTTGCCTCTGCATTTCTGCTGAAGCTTGCAAAAAAAAAAAAAAAAATGCTGACTGACACTTCGAGCTACCTTTGAGCATGAAGATGCACATCCAGTGATTACTTTGTGAGAGTTTCATTCAAATCCATCACATATTTTCATAACACACGCGAACGGCGGCAGGCGATCAAGATCTGGTTTATACGTTTTATTATTTGTGCGCTTTTTAAATCTAAAAGCTTTGACATTTATCCTCGAACCTCTTGTTGACACAGCTGAGAACATTCGTCTTTGTGAGCAGAATCTGGAAATTAAATTTGACAACGTGCTAAATCTGACCATGTTTCAACTCCCATTCCCGTTGGACGATAGTCAGAAGTTACATTTCTGCTCATCGTCTGGATTATTTGAGTTTATCTGAGTTTATATTAACATCGACAGGGAGACTACAATTGATTTTAATCGCCTAAACAATGCTGAACCTTGTTAACTTCACTGTGAGTGACGAAGAAGGGGCCAATCTAAAAAAGTCACAGTAAGTCAGGTCCTCTGGACAGATTCTTCTTGTTGAAACGTTTCATCTTTTATCCAAAGGACTTCTTCAGTCTGAGCAGTTGCACTAAACTCAGTCTTATAAACAGCACCTTCTCATAGTGGATCAACCAGTTTGTTGTTGACATCCAGAACTAGCTGTTCACATGATAATTAGGACCACCAGCCTAATGATGGATCATTAGTGCCCTGATGTCCGCTTGCTATTCACAGAAGCTGAATGATATTAGCAATAACAGCATTGTAAGAAGGTGACAGTTGGATACTGAGGCTCCGCCCCTTTTTGGAGTGTTTTGGATAAAAGACGAAATGTTTCAAGAAGAACAAGTCCAGAGGACCCAACTTAACTTTTTTTTTGGAAGATTTTTCTACCTGGATTGTTGAGCATGCATCAGGATATGCCTTTAACAAATGTTACGCTCAAACTAGGGATGGACAATAATTCGATACCAATAAATACCACAATATAATTTTATTCAATAACGGTGATTTGAGTTTTAAGCACATTTTCGATATTTCGATATGATTACAGCGTTTCACTGACGCATTTCTTTTTCTGTTCGGCTTGAAGCGCTGGGGGGTCGTTCCAACTAGCGGTGGGAACACATCTAACTTGTTTCACCATCTGAAGAGTTTCCACTCGATAGAATACGCTGAGCGTCAC